CGACCTTACCAACGATGCATCATTTAAGATTTTAAGGGTTGCACTGTCAGCGATGCGAGACAAAGACATATTTTAGACACTGTTTCCTTCCATGATCAATTTGACGTGCCAAAGCGTTTTTTGAAAATTATTTTAATTTACAGAAATAGCTATGTATCGTTTCTAATGCACCACCGTATATTATTTAGCTTCGGAGAAATAACACCCATAAAAATTGTTATAATAATAAATGGGTAGATTTTGGTGTTATTTCTCCGAAGCTTCTTAAGCACCCCATTGAGAGTCGTGGATCTTCACAATTTCAGTATATTATTTAAATAATAGCCATATAATTTATAGCAAGATCAATTTTTTTCACGATATTTATCAACATTTTTTGCTTTTTTCGTTACTTTACAGTTCTTATCTCTTTAATTTTACGGAAATTCTCAAGAATCTGTTTGATTTGTTGAAACTATTAGAGCAATAAACTGAAAACATGTATATTGTATAATTATGACAGATGAACTAAATATTTTATCGTATCATAGTTACAATAAATTAAATAGGTAACTATATTTATTTCAACATTCCCTCCTAAATCTTTAGTTTATATTATATCAATGGTTTACACATTTGTAGTAAGCCCTAGCAAACTTCTCATCCTTTCAAAACGTTTTGTTGGAAGTGGTTTCGTTAAAATGTCACCTAATTGATCCTCACTAGTAATGTGTTCCATTGATAAGACTTTCTCTTCAACTTTCTCTCTAATAAAATGGTATCTAACATCTATGTGTTTAGACCTCTGATGCATAATCGGATTCTTTGTAAATTTTACTGCACTCATGTTATCAATAAATAATGTCGGTATCATTGTTAGAGTTAGGGGTGAAATTTCCTTAAAGATTCGGTACAGCCATATACTGTCCTTGGCGGCTTCACTAGCTGCGATGTATTCGGCTTCCATGGTAGATAAGGATACGCATCTCTGTTTCTTGCTTGACCAAGTGATTACTCCGCTACTAAATTGTGAACATACTCCGCTTACTGATTTTCTCGACACATCATTAGCGTAATCTGCATCACTGTAAATTTTTAATTCTTTGCATTCCGTAGCTGTGTATTTAAGGCCCATATTTAGAGTACCTTTGATATATTTAAAAATTCTCTTCACAATTTCCCAATGTCGTCTATTAGGTTGTTCAACAAATTGTGAAATATAATTGACAGCAAAGGTTATGTCAGGTCTTGACACAACTGAAAGGTACATTAAGCAACCTACTGCTTCTCTAAATGGAGCATCCGTAGATTTAAACTTTGGTATTTCTTTGAAAGCTTCTTCCATCTGACATCTTTCTAAAGGAGTCTTGACCGGTTTTGCCTCTTCTATGTTAAAACGCTGTAAAAGACGTTCTGCGTATGATCTTTGATTCAAGAAAATTGAACCATCTATATTTCTGCAGATCAAATCGTTCAAAAAACTTTCAACATTTTTACAAACAGTAATTTGAAATTCTGCTTGCAGTTTTGTCAAGAATTCCTGTATTGTCTGCTTTTTGGTAGCTAATATAAGTCCATCATCCACGTATAGTACCACTAGCAGCTTGTCATTCTCAATATTACTGTAATACAAGCATGGATCAGCAGTGCTTTCGGTAAGATGAAATTTCTTAAGCAATCCTTTAAATCTCTGATTCCAGCAACGTGGGCTTTGTTTGCAACCATATAAACTTTTCAAAAGTTTACAAACATGACTTGTGCTGTCTTCAAATCCTTGCGGTTGGTACATGTAAATATCACGATCGATGAATCCATTTAAGAAGGCTGTCTTAACATCAAATTGAGCCATTTCCAAACTCTCCTGTGCTGCAATGCTCAGAACCGTTCTAATGGTGTCAAATCGGGCTACGGGACTAAATGTATCATCGTAATCTATTCCTTCTTTCTGACTAAACCCTCTCACTACCAATCTGGCCTTATATCGATCAATACTTCCATCTACTTTCCTTTTGTACTTAAATGTCCATCGGTTTGTGATGGCTTTTCGATTTTCTGGTAAATCTACCAAAATCCAGGTGTGATTTTGTATCAATGATTGCATCTCTTCCTCCATTGCTTGTTTCCAATGTCTACTTTCTGGTGATTCAACTGCCTCTTGATAGGACTTTGGTTCATCTACTTCAGCAATCATTGTTTCAATTAATCGTTTTGTACGACCAAGATTTCTTCGATTTCTAAAATTATATCTTGGTTGATCCTGTCCATCTTCTTCTTCCGATTCTCGCAATTCATTGTCATCAACATCAATATTTTCATGATGCTGTCCATCTTCTTCTTCCGATTCTTGCAATTCATTCTCAGCATCAATATTTTCATTTCCTACCTGCTCTATTTCTTTTTCCCGAACAAATCTGTTCTCTCCTGGATATTCTGCTACGTAATTTGGCTTCTCGTCAAGGTTAATGTCAAAGGTGATCATTTTTGATATGCTCTTCTCTTCATTAGAATGGGTCGTACAATTTACTGGTTCAAATACAACATCTCTACTACGAAGTATTTTCCTGGTAGAACTCAACCAAACACGAAAACCATCCATCTCTTCAGAATAGCCAACAAAAATACCTTTTTGACATTTCTGGTCCCACTTCTTTCGTACTTGTTTTGGCTTATGTACAAAACATGTAGTACCAAAAACGTGCAGTTTGTTTAAATGTGTAGACTTGCCCGTGAATATTTCAAGAGGTGATTTACCATTTTCATTACTAGGCCCCGTTCTGTTCAGCAGATAAACAGCAGTGTTGACTGCTTCGGCCCACAATCCTTTAGGTAAATCTTTCGCCGCTAACATTGTTCTTGCAAGTTCGACTACAGTGCGATTAGAGCGTTCTGCACATCCATTCTGCTCGCTGGTATATGGATTTGAGACACTGAGGATTACTCCTTCAGATTTTAACAACGTTGTCACATCTTTGTTGTTAAATTCTCGTCCACCGTCGCAACGCAACATTTTTAGTGGTCTTCCGCACTGATTTTTCACAAAATTCAAGACTTCAGCAATTCCTTTTGTAGTTTCTGATTTTTCCTTAAGAAATTTGATCAATCGGAATTTTGAGTAATCGCATGTAAAGCAGATAAAATATCTCGATCCTCCATACGAAGTGATTTCCATAGGACCACATAAATCAACATTCATGACTTCACCTTCTCGTTGAGCACGTTGTTGTCGTACTTGAAAAACCTTACGATGCTGCTTACCTTTTACACATGCTTCACAAAAAAAATCTTGCTTGGTGTACTCGATTCCATTACGGTTTAACACTTTTTCAACTTGTACTCTGTTTTGATGTCCGAGCATTTCATGCCACTCTTGAATTGATTTCAATTTCGAAGTCACGTTTGTTTCTTTAGTATTACTTAATTGTAATAAACTATTCGCTGGTACTTTCACCTTCATTATCATTGTGAATAACTGACCAACTCGTCTACCCTTAGCTTTTGCTTTTTCATCACTGACGAAAAAGAACTCCTTTTGATTTGATTTGAACTCGTATCCTTTGTCTAAAGCTGCTGTCCTCGAGAATAGATTTCTACGAGCAGCTGGAACAAAGAGAACATTTAACATTCGAAAATCAAAAATTTTACCATCAACAAAAGTTTTAACTTCTACGACGCCTTTTCCCAACGCATCCATCGATGTCTTGTTTCCAATGTGGACCTTGACTGGTGTCTTAAATTGTTCAAAATATGAGAACCACTCGCCATGATATGTTAGATGATCAGTGGCCCCCGAATCAACAATCCAAAAATCTTCGTCATTTTCCGCATTCAAGACTTCCGTAATGAAAGCGTTTTCTCCAGATTCCTCGTTGTAAAACTTCTGTTTACGATTGGGACAATTTCGTTTTATGTGATTCTTGCCTCCGCAACCATAACAAGTAAACGTTTTCTTTGTAGTTACACCTTTTGTAGTATTCTTTTTATATGAAATCTGTGATTTTCTCCTATATCGACCAGCTAGTAGTGCTCCTGTACTTTCTTCTGATGCCTCGCTTTGTAGATGTCTTTGTTTTCTTCGCGATTCTTCGGATGTTAGTACATTCACCAGGTTAGTAAACGTTTGTTGTTCGTCTGGTCTGGCCCACCATGCCTGCCGTAAGTTATCATAATTATCTGGTAGTGTATCCAAAAGTTTTACTACTAAAGACATGTCATCTTGTTTCACATTCAGTGCATTCATTTTCAAGATAAGAGTTTCGAACTTTGAGATATGAGTTACCATATCATCTTTCTCATTCATTGTAAAACTAAAGAACTCCGCCTGTACTACATGAGCAGCTTGTTTGGTCTGTTGCTCAAATATACTATAATGAAGTTTTATCCACATCTGTCTTGCTGTATTGCATGTCACCAGTAATGCCATTATTTTGGGTTCCAATGCTTTGACCAATGCTTGACTAGCAACTCTGTCCGTTTTATCCCAAATCTTCAGGTCTCTAATATATTCTGCTTTCTGCTCGGCAGTAGCTTCCTCATTCAGAGCCTCTGGCATTCTGAGATCTCCATTATATATCTCGTAAGCATTTGTATACGCTCGCAAAACATTCCGAATGGCGAATTTCCATACAGTCCAGTTATCAGTTCCTCTCAATTTTTCTATACTTCCTTCTTGATGCTCCATAGTACTTCAACCGTGTTAACCTTTAAAGCGAACCACGCTCTGCTACCATGTTGAAACTATTAGAGCAATAAACTGAAAATATGTATATTGTATAATTATGACAGATGAACTAAATATTTTATCGTATCATAGTTACAATAAATTGAATAGGTAACTATATTTATTTCAACAGCATGAAGCTTTATGTGATATATTTTTACATTTCTCATCATGTGAGAAACTGCACCACTGCACTGGCCCGAAAGATTAATGAGACATTACTTGTTGCAAGAACAAATTCTATATACTAATTAAGCAAAGCACAGACAGCTTTGAGCAAAAGACATGCTGATTTACTTACAAAATGCGAAATTGTAAGCTTACATCAAATACCTTTTTTAGGAATTCATCTCAGAAAGTTGGTGAAGATAAACAGACGCCAACCGTAGGTTGGTTGATTCATCCACTTCATTCGAGCATTACCACAGAAGAACAAAGAAAGGTTTTCTTCCCACCACCATCGGGAGTCAGAAAAATCATATTATCTACGAATATTGCTGAAAGTTCTATTACAGTACCCGATATTACATACGGTAATTTAAACATCCTTCCTTGTACGCCTTTCTTTAACAGACATTGTAGTTATCGATTTTTGTTTAACTAAAACTATGGTCTTGGATCCCGATACACAGTATCAAAGTTTGCAACTGCAATGGGCGTCACATGTTAACTGTACTCAACGCGCTGGTAGAGTTGGACGAGTAAGCGATGGTCGTGTCTACCGTTTTGTTCCGACACAATTTTTTGATGTATTTTAATAGACTTATGAATGGACGGTCTTATTAGTATTTGCTTTTAGTTGTATCTTCCGAAATCGGTAGAACCGGAAATATTGAGGGCGCCCTTGAATCATGTGGTTCTGGCATCTAAGTTGTTGGATATAAAAGAACCACCTAAGGCTATTTTAGCTCTTGCTATGAATCCACCTGCCTTAGATAGTATTGATAGTACCGTCTTGTACTTAAAAGAGGTATAGGAATATTTTTGTAATGTGACAATTTATATGTTTAACTAGATTGGTGCGTTGACTGTGTGTCAAGATGGCAAAAAAGTGATGAATGATGGCGATCTAACTTTCATGGGTGAAGTGATAGCTATGTTACCTTTAGATGTCCATTTATCCAAATTTATATTTCTTGGACATATTTTTAGCTGTCTCGAAGCTGCGATTATTATGGGTGAGTTAAGTAACGGAAAGTATTTCGATTAAACCTTACCATCCTTAATAGCAACTGGATGTTCTATAAGCATATTTAAAACTCCATTCAAAGAACGTCTTAAAGCATACACAAATCGTTTACAATGGGCAGACGGCTCTGCGAGTGATATCGTCGCTTACCTGCATCTGTATAATGTCAGTACTTCAAAAATGTTTAAATTTCAATTTTTTCAAGATTATTTTAGGTGTGGCAAAGAAGGAAGCGACTACATCCCAATCCAAAAGCAGAGAAATTGTGGTGTGAAAAAAATTTTGTAGCTCAAAGGGCTTTGAATGAATGGCACATTCTTGTGAAAGAAATACAATCACGGTTAGCTAGAATGAATATCCAGCCCGAAGAAGGACCTGGGAATGTTGTCCATTCTGAAACTGAATTGCCAATTTTAATTAAGGTCAGTATCTCCACAGCTGATAAAGTTCATACTACGCATGCGCGGCTTGCATCATGCAGATGGACGCTATATTTGATTTTATTATTGGGGTATTTTGTACAAATTCTAGAAAACAAAACAGATAAAGTATTTGTTTCTTTAGTAAAATAAAAAGTTTGTTTACCTTCTTCAAGGCTGTACTTCATGGTTAATGTTTGTTACATGAAAGATACATCCAAAAACTAGAATGCCAAAATCAGACTTAATTTCAATTAATTCAAACTTACGTACCTCATTAATAAATGGGTTTCGGATTGCGATATAGGTAAAACAAAGATAAGTAATTTAAATTAACAGCGCAATGGCAACAATACTGGCAGAGAGGCACCCCTGTTAGTTCCTACCAGGGATACATCCCTACGATAGTTGACTAAATTCTTGGAGAGGCGGCTACGCCAGGCATATGCCAAAGTATCAAGTATCAACGTATGGAAACACCTAAAAAGAAACGTGTTGACAAAGAGGAATTGAAAATACTCCCCATTTGCTAAAGACGCTTTGATAATTCATTTAAACAATTTTAGCGTGGTGACTCTGGAATTTTCTTAATCAAATCAATATTTTTCGCGAAGAACGGACCTGTCAATCATATCAATCTGTATCAAAGTATGCAGTCAGGTTCAAAACCAAAAATTGAAACTACAAAAAGTAAAAATGATGAATCAAAGTAACAAAAAATAACACAAGCAATTAAAAATAAAAAACCGAGAAGATGATGGATAAGATGACAACGTGGAGTGGATGAAGAAAGAACTTTAAGACCCATCGTTTAATAACTAGTATATTGGTTACTTTGTCTAGTTCATTTAGTAACTAGTCCTGTATTAATATAAATTTTATTGTTGGTTCTGCTCCGCAAATTCCTAAAATATTTAATCTCATTTAAGGTTGTAATGTGCGGAGCTTTTTACCCAAATTATTTCAAACGATCCGTGGATGCTGGTCAAATTGATGAACGTGAAGCTGTCAAAACCATAGGGGGGCGTGATCCATTCAAGACCATCTACTTTACAGGTTTCGACCACAAGCAACCTGGTCCACTTTATGCAAATTCGATTAAAGCTATCCTAAAAGATTGCGCTACTGACATGCATGTTAGCTTTGATAACAGCAGGTACCTGATTTTTGTTGCTTTTTTGTTGTTGTAATTCTCACGTTTCTTACTTTTAGTAAGGTGTATGTGGAATTTATGACGCCCAAACAATTTGAGACTGTTATGATTGATGGCCAAAGGTTTGTAACGACAATGCCAGGTAAGATTCGAACCGAGGTATATCGTGCAGTACGGCAGAGACAGTTGCAGTTGACTCACAGAATCGCTGTAATGAGGTAATAGAATTAAAATGTATTTTTTTATCATCTACTCCAAATTGTCGTATTTTTATAGCAGTTCTGATAAAGCCTGGGCTATTGCAAAATCTGTCGGGATTCAACCACTTGGGTCGACTAGGCGATCTTTACCTTCGTTGGAACGAGTAAGCAGCATTTTAGAGGATGATTCCGTAGTACAATTTTCTCCAATTGTCCCAACATTAGACATGACTTTTTTAATTCTAAGAATATCCCATGTAAGTGAGATTAATTTCAATATCAAAAAAACAAACCTCTTTTGTAGAGAGTTGATGCTGGACATTTTTGGGCTCATTTGTGTAGCAACGGTTCAACGCTAAGCCCCTTATTGCCGGCCATTTACGAGGAACTTAATAAAGAGACAGTCCAATTGCAACCGCTGGGAAAGACAATGCCTGTGATAGACACGGTTTATGCTGCAAAATTTTCCGACGACGATCAGTTTTATCGTTGCAAAGTTATCTCATTAAATTCCTTTGGTAAAAAGCAAGCATCTCTAGCACAGGTAAATTCTCATATTGAAGTACACACCGCAAATTCATAGATATAGGTGAATTCATTACTCTAAAAGAAATTGAAATATACCTATGGGTATGCGCAATTAGATGCAATTTATTAGATCACAAAAAAAGTATACTTGCTTTATATCGTTTTGTTGTTAAATATTAATAATCGGTAATAATTCCGAAATTATTAACAATTGTCAAATTTGCAATTAATTTCATAACTGATTTCAATCAGTTTATGGACTCTATTTGTAGATAGTAGATGAATGCAGTTTATAGTCAATGCAATGTAAAAGAGGCAATGTTGGGCTAGTCTTCCACTAGTAGAGTTTAATCGGCCCGTGTAGCGCAGTTCAGTGGAAGCTCGACTGCGGTACAGGGTCCCTGGTTCGAATCCGGGTTCGGGCATGGATATTTGTAAATGTATAGTGGGTTGGGTTGGTAGAGCAGCCTCGGCTGAAACTCCGCCCACTTAAAAAATAAAGGCAAAATAAAAAAAATAATAAAATAATAATCATGTTTACTTACGAAAATCACAATTGCGCGCATTTATTTCAAAGCCCAGGGCAAACCGTAATAGATTCAGATAAATTGTGGGTAGAGGATGAAATTTCCTACAAAAACCCCACGATAGAATTATACCTAAAGTTTATAAATAATAAGTATTTAATTAAATGTGTGTATGTATTTTTGCAATACCTTTGAATGCATCGTTTTGATGGGTCTGGCGTCCACACATTCTTCTCATTTATAAATTCAGGCTCTTGCGGCAATCATGCATTATTTGTAATGAACCCTTCATTTTCATGCCTACTTTACGTCAGGAAATTTTTATTTTAGACAGTGGCAGTAACGCTTTAACTACTTTTCCTGCCTCCTGTCGACCCCGAGTAGTTTAATTTCCTAGTCAAGTAGTATCATTTTACTGACAAGATTGATATTACATTTTTCCCGAGATATTTTTTTTTAATTTAAAATTTCAAATTATCTAACGAAACAACTATGCGATCCTACACAAAAAAACGCTTTGTGGAAGTGAGAATCCAGAGAAACAAAGGCGAAGAAGTGAAACGATTACTAACTTGCGCTCTCATATTGAGGCAGGTGAACTACCAAGCGCCTTTTATAATAAGAACCGATGCAAGTTCCTATGCCATTGGGACACAATTTATCCATTATGCATTTATACGGTTTTCTTTCCGCACGATCGTGATTTTCGTCAGAACTTGTTAACGTTGCCTTGGTAAAAAGGCACAGGCGATTTTACCTTCTTGAACAGAGCATGCGACAAACTTTTATTTACAAATGATATATTCAATTTTAGGTTTTGTATATTGACTTTGGAAATACTGAGTTTGTGGATACAGCTAATTTGTTTTACTTGCCCGACACACCGTTAATGTCATGTCCCGCTCAGGCTGTTGAATGCCACTTAAGCGAAATTCAACCGTCTATGGTCTTGAATCCGAGAGCTTTGTGGTCGGAGGAAGCAGTTAGGAAATTTGACATGCGTACTGCAGACAAAATGTTAGCCGCCAAGGTAAATGTTTCGATCTCAACAAAAATGGGACTTATTGAAAAATTGTAGATTTATTCTGTTGTTAATGAAGTTGTACATTTGGAGCTTTATGCTACCAACGTTACGTCAATGAGCGATTTTACACGTTCAGAAAACTATTGGCTCATTAATGAAGGGTACGCTGAACCTGCAGAAGAAAGCTTTCTATCTAAAGTATGTAACAATTGCATGGTAAGCCCTATCCTTAACATTGTTTTTGTATAGGAAAACCATAATAAAAGGTTACTTTGCGCGGAGCATCCTGAACATTTTGCTTCGTTGCCCGAAGAAGTATGTCAGCCGCAAAACTCAGTAAACTACCATTTACCAAGCAATTCCTGCAGTAGTAGTTTGACTTTGAAAGGACCGTACAGTCCATTGGAGATGCAAATCTTCAGTGTGACGGCTAGCGGCATGAATAAAACTATAACGATTGAAGGAAGTTCTGTTAATGCTGTACTGTTAGACACAGATCCACAAGACCCTCACGAAAGGTAAAAATTTGATCAAATAGGAGCACTAGCATATTTTGCTAGTCTTTCTTGGGAGCAGAGATTGCATGTTTTGGCACTTAGGACTGTTACCCACACCGATACTTGAAGTTTTGAACCCCCTCCTCACATTCCCTTTGTTAGTAGCTTCCTCCAACACTTCATTTTCAAGATGCATGGTCATGTTGATTGTACTGTAGCAGGTAGGTACGTCTTGTCCAGAACGCTCACGTGCCTTTGCGTGTATTAGGACTATTGCCTTTGATAAAAAAAATCAAAAGCATCCCCCTCGCTTCTTTCCTACGTTTTTCTACCCAACCTATAGCTACTGCAATAAAAAGGGGAATGCTTACTCTAACCCTTAACAAATTGTGCTAGAATTGACCATGGTTAATTTTGTTATGTTAGCCTCGAGTATATCCTTTTAGGTTGATAGTTGCCGCCCATATTGGACAGAATCCTTCCGGTACAATGCTAAATTTACGACATACTACAGTAATGCCAAACATCCACGGATTTCCTATGTTAATGAGTCTGTTGTTCTGCCCTTCAATGGAACCGAAACCTACCGCGGATGGAACTCAAATTGGTGCAATACTGTGTGGAGTGGGTGGTTATGACAATACGCATCGATCCATGTTTCCTCCCCATGATATTTGTTTAACTTTAGACACAGAATTAACAGAGTCTGATTTGAATGAAGTACGTTTGGCGCATTATTTGCATTTTGTACAATCCTAATTTTAGATTAACCAATTGAGGCAGTGGATGAATCACGCCGTTAAGGTTATGGAGTTTTGTTGTAGAGGAATTCCATCTTCTTCTTCAATGGCTCTTTGTCAAAGAGAAATTAAAGAGCAGCTGCTCAAGTAAGTTCTCAAATATCATTAGCAGTAAAAAGGACCATTTACTTGTAGAATTTTGAAAATGAAACGTAAAAATATTGAACGTGTGTATGTAAGACATTCATCTGTATGGGGACAAACTTTGTATGATTCGGCCATCTTACGAGCAAATACACAGAACAATTCCTCGCAAATTTGGCCACTACACTGGAGCGTTAAACTAAACCCAAATAAGGAAGAAGCAGCCTTAGATAATAATATTAGGGAAATGGAAGAAGTTGCATTGGGGTAAGTTAGGTAGTCTTGAGTATGTAAATTTGACCTTCTTGTTTGCAGAATGAGAACAGTCAATGAAATGAATTGTATGAAATGCAATTTCTTTTGTACTTCAGTTGGAGAAATGAGGATTCACCTTTCGTCATCAGCACACAAAGATGCTGGGATGAAATATGAACAACGGCCTCGCATGTGATTTTATTTGTATTCGTGTTTATTGTTAAGAGTTACCTCTTTTTTTTATCATTTGAATATTTCTTAATGTGCTTTTGTTACTTTTATAGTAATTAGTTATGACAAAACAATTTAGATGGCAATAAATTTCTGTTTCGATCGAAACTGGCATATAAATGATTTTGGTGAAAGCTGTGCGAGTTGTGACTTTTTAAATGTTTTAGTTCTGTTTCAGCTTAGTAGGCCTCACGTAGCAGTGTCGCGACAGAAAAATGTCGGTCATAACATAAGAAAGGTGGTCTGGTGGTATTTTAATTTAGTAAGATCAGTTCACTTTTTCATTTTGTAGCTGCCATTTTATTTTATGTTTACCACCCGCACGTTGGTACTGAGGTATTGCATTGGGGTAAAAATGACCCCCCACAAAAATACGCGATGTGAAGCCCCAGGAATCTGCATCAAACAAAATCCCGATGATGTGTGTCTGTACTCTCATTTGAACCAAATTTGGTAGGTACATTCTTATAGCTGAAAAGCTTTTGAGTAGAATCGCTCATGCGCAAGTGTGTCAAAGTCAGTGGTGTGTAACGAAGCACCCGGAATTTCTGCGTTTGGTTTGCCATTTACAAGGACCACCCGGTATAGTAACAATTGGTTTGGGCTTCGTTACGCAAGAAAACCGTGATATTGAGCATTTTCCGCGATGCCATGGAGATACCGTAATTAATTAGTCCGCCTACGACCGCTCCTGTTGGAATTTTGGAATTATTTTTGTAACCACCGAAGGATGTTGTCGTGGCGAAGATGAGGGACAATTAATGTTTCTTTGGTTTCAGCGCCGTTAATTATTTATAAGATGTTTTAGATTCCCATAATAAGTAAAATCAAGGATAGAACGAGTTCAGATCGAGTTGTTTACAAGTTTTGCAGTCCCGTCCATATGCCTGCTTGTTGCGATAAGAGTGCTAAAGCGATAGCTCCGTTTGAAAAGAAAAAAGTCCAAGAGAGCTAGTTGCAGATTGGATTGATGAGTACTTAGGTTTGATTACGCTTAATTAGGTAAGCGCTGTTAATGGATGCCATGTTAATGGGCAGTAGCAGGTAAACGTTGTCAGAAATCGTCGGGAGAGGTAAGCGCTGTAATTTTTCTAGTTGTTTGCAAGTTGTCTTAGATTTTTAAGATAACCACAGGAGCAGTAATTAATTAATAACCGAATTATTTTCCACCGCGCTCGGTGCGAAGGCAACGATGCTTTGGGAATTCCCTGTTCCACTTCTACCAAAATGGGTTTCCTTTAAAAGGAAAACGCTCAATTTGAGAAGTATCTTTCTGCTTCATACTTTCGAGTTGTAAGTACGCCTATTGATTTCTTTAATTTGCGAAACCGTATCATTCCAAATCCACTGAAACCCTTTTGTTTTACCGTTTTCCCGTTTTAGCGACCGTAAGTCAATCCGTTGCCCTTTCCTTTTCACTACCGTTTTGAGTTTCCTTTTTTTTCACTTACCGTAAACTTTTACCACCGTTCTAAGCTTCTTTACCGCCTTAAGCTTAACCTACCGTATTTTCTATTGATAGCGTTATCATATCACCGTTTGCTGTAGAAAACTAACACCACCGTTAATTAACAAAGGTAAGCGCTTAATTTTCAATTACGTTGATTAAAGGGGGGGAAGTATATTCTGTTCTCCTTGCTTTTCCGCTTTTCTTTCCTCTAGACACCGCTAATTGATTTGTGCTGTGTTGTTTTATTCCCTTTAGGAAATTTACCGTTAGGGCCACAGAGTTGTATATAAGTAAATAGAGAGACAGTCTTGTAGCGAAAAATTGACTCCAATTGAACCTTGCGCAGGCCGTTGGTGAGTGTGCGCAGTAATCGACAACAGAACCGGCTTCAAATTAAATGATCCTTAAAGCAGGTTCGGCTTGAGAATAATATGGTTTCTCATTGCAACAGAAATTGAAAAGAAATTCAATGTGTGGTGAATGATGTTGCTAACACTGTGTCTTGAATAAATAAGAAACATTACAATCGTTAAGAAGTTTTAATACAGTAGACTACAATACAAAGCTGGTAAGGGGCTTACAACATCAGAATCGAGAAAAGATTTTTTGAGATTCTGGTATAAAGGAAATCGTATATTTGTCGTGCGATCGAGTTTAAAGATCTATTTATGCACTCAGTGAGTATAAAAATAAGCAATGAAAGAATAAAATAAGTTGAAATTTTATTTTGGTGCGGGACTAAAATTTCAGGTGTGCAATGCCAAAAACACAGTTTGACTACGGGTAGCCACAAAGTCGACAAACTTCAAATGCCAATAACTCAAATATCTCAAAAATGGAGCATCGACAGAGGGTATGTAGGTACAGTGGCACCACGCTCAGAAGGTTCCTGACAGGGCGTGTCCGAGGACGTTGGAAATTTAGACTGTACATTCTCATGCAAAATTTGACTCTACTAAATATAAATAAGTGGGCCACGCGATATGAGTTGCATTACTTCAAGGGGAAACAGTAAAATTAATAATTTTATTTTTACAAAACGTAAACACATTTAAGATTGTTAGATGTTCATGTTCAACACAATTTACAATTCTGATGCACTTCTGCTGTGTAAATATGGACAGTTATTGAAACAATCACATTGAAATTAATAACAATCACATTGAAATTAATAACACTCACATTGACTAAATTAACACACAACCTTTAACTTTTTTCATTCATTATCGTC